GCACAGGGACAACTTTTCCTTTACTTCAATGATAGTTGGTGCAAGTAACCTCGTATTAAAAACCCCCACCATCCAAAATAACAAACTATTATTTGCATATAATGCACTTCACAGCTGGTGGCGCATGTATTTGTCAGCATGATCTGATAACCCAGTTTGCAGTAAGTACCATGCTTCCTAAAATGGAAATTACAAACGTGATAAAACATGAAATTTTAGCTGTGGGATTGCAAACGGAAAAGCAGGTTATCTTACGGTACATACACAACTGGGTTACCTTTCCCTTTCATTCTTCTTAGTAGCCCTATAACTGCCTGTGGTTCTCTATGGGTGTGAAACTTGGTCTCTGACATTAAGGGAGGAACATAGACTGAGGGTGTTTGAGAACAGGGTGTTGAGGAGAATATTTGGACCGAAGAGAGATGAAGTGACAGGAGCTTCATAACTTGTACTCTTCTCCAAGTATAATTAGAATGATCAACTCAAGGAGGATGAGGTGGGCAGGGCATGTAGCACGATTGGGGGAGAATATGAATGCATATAGGATATTGGTGGGAAAGCCAGAAGGAAGGAGACCACTGGGAAGACCAAGGCATAGGTGGGTGGACAGTATTAAACTGGATCTTAGAGAGATAGGATGGGATGGTATGGATTGGATTGATCTGGTTCAGGATAGGGACCAGTGGAGGGCTCTTGTGAACAGGATAATGAACCTTCGGGTTCCATAAATTGCTGGGAAATTCTTGAGTAACTGAAGAATTGGAGGCTTCTCAAGAAGGACTCAGCTCCACGAGTACGTAACGAAGGCTTATAAGTGTCAGTTATTTGTATCCTAAGAGGAATTTAACAATATTCACGTTCTTGTTCACAGTAAAGGCGTATAAAATGTAAGAAGTCTACTTCTATGAAACTCGCCTTCACCCGGGGCAACCAGTTTTCACAAAACTAGCTTTTGGCGACAGAAGTGTGTAACCATTTCTGACGAGAAGGAAATATCAGTGCAAAAGTTCGGAATAAACAAATCTGTATTTCATACTCCGATCTTCTGGTCTGTGACATCAGTAGTTACGTGGACATCCACCGAGATTTCGAAGGAACATTCTGTAACCATCTTCAATGTTGAACTTCAACACTTCAATGTTTAAAATTGAGGAAATATTCTCTTCCGACCCATGATGTGTATTTGTATCAACCGTCTTACAGAGCACACAATTTCACTTTTCTCCTCACTACATGTTTCGACACTAATATGCCATCTTCAGGCGTGGTTTCATTTACGTCAAACCATTGCACTGTATGCCATCATGTCTCCTTTATAAAATGATTAAAATGTGTATATGTCATGATAATAAAATTTATATATTAAAACTTTTCAAGATTTTTCATCTTTATGTCGCACTTCAAAATCGCGTGTTACGTCAATCCTCTCCTATGGGAGTACTCTTCCTATATTCTTGTATGTATTGTGTGCTGTGTTGTGTCCTTCCCTTGTGATTGCTTGCGTTGTATTGCTCTCTTCCGACACTTCGATATCTGACTACAAGGCTGTATTAGGTCACAGCACAGAAGACTACAATCTGAACAACCATCCCCATGTAAACCTCGAAAATTTAACGTAACTATAGGTTTAATTATCTTAGATTTTAAGAATCATTTGAATTATTTGGTATACTGACAATCAAAAATGTTCAACACTCATTAGTAACCTAAAAATTAATACAGCAAACAGCCAATAATCGCTTAAACATCTTCTTGAATACGTTCAATTAATGATCGCACCTGAATTTAGTTTAACAAGATAAGTTGTAACGCAAGATTTTGTAGGTTTTGGACTCCCATTAGATCACAAAATATGCGTTAATTTATGCTTTGAGTCCACATATTCAGTCGTACTATATTTCGAGTTATATGAAATACACTTCAACATTTTTAATACTGAATTTTTATACTAGTTTCGTGGTTTCCAAAGAATGTGTTTTATTTTTGAACCATAAAGTAGACTAGAACAACTTCCCCTAATGCTGAGTAAGAGGTCGCTACCTTTGTGTCAATATATGAAAAATGAACGCAATGAGCACGCATTATCGATCGATTATAAATGATTCTGTTTCTTTAAGATTACTTCGCTTAGTGGGGGGTAGAGACCAGCTGGGTCCACTCGGCACGGCGGCCACTGATTGGCCTATTGTAGCCTGCCCCGGGTGATTATGACGATGGAGAATTTGGTGGAATGAAGATTGGCAGGGGAAACCGAAGTACTCGGAGAAAATCCGCCCCAGCGCCACTTTGTCCACCACAAATCCCATTTGATCGAACCCGGGCCACCGCGGTTGGAAGCCAGCGACTAACCGCTTAAGCTGTGGCGCGACCTCAAGATTGCTTAGTCTGCTACATATGTCACCTACAGTTTCCAGTTACGGACTGATTATAAACAAAAACTTGAGAAGGGCATCGAAAGATGATGTGATGTATTTTAAATTAGCTGCTATCCTAATCCTTGATTGGATGGATTAGAAATACAATGAGTAAAATCGTACACGGGACAGCATCTGTGGTCTAGTGGTCAAAATTTCTAGCTACAGATCCAGAGGTCCCGGGTTAGATTCCATTTGCTACGATATTTTCTGAGAAGTAGTGAGTCTGGAACGGCGTCCACTCAGCCTCGTGAGGATAATTGAATGGAAAAGTAGCGGCACCGGTCTAGAAAACCGAAATTAACGGCCGTCGAGATTCGTTGCGCTGACCACGCGACATCCTCTATCCACTAAGGTTGGCAATAATTTCGCTGACAAGCGGCGGTCGCTCGATCGGTATAGTTCACTTGCGGACTAAAACCACGGAGTTTAAATTCGCACGCTATAGCCGTCATCCCAGTCGAAATTCGAACCGAGGTTATCAGGAACACGAAACATTAGGCCTGACCAATCTATCGCGACGTCTCACGATCGATTATAAATTCCTTTGCAATTTTAGAAGCGTTATGCATGCCGTTTTACGGTGTTTAACGAATTTCCTTCCGAACCGTTGACGTCCCTTAGTTCGGTTCAGAGGGTTTAAATATCCGTGTAGGTTAAACAAGTTTCCTCTTCAATGAAAAACGTGTTCCGGTCTTTACCACTAGCAGCCTTGAAAAAACAACATTGTCCATTTGCCCTGAAGAGCACGAAAAATTGTACAAGCAATGAATGGGTGTTTAATTTGCATAAAGGCATTGTTTCTAGTTGCAGTACCTCTAATGCGTAACAATGAAGGTGAGAATTCAAATCGCTTCTCCGCGTATGGAAATAGGAAGAGAATGAAGCACTGTTTACCTTGACGTAATTACAAACAAACTTTTAGGCCAAATTAGCATGAGTGAAAAACTCTCATTGTTTTCAAGACGTTCTAAAAGCTTGAAGAAAATTCATGTGATGTGGTTATAAAATCTTTGTAGGAAATATATAAATAAATATGTATAAGAAAACAGCAAAAGGAACTACGAAATTTGCAGCGCTTTGCTCATCGGTGTCTAGGCTTGCAGTTCAAATGTAAAAGTATTGTCTCGTGTTGCCTATGTAACGCGACAAGTAAATTCACGCGGTTCTCGGATATGGCTAAAACGTTTATTGGACAATCTCTTTTACACTCGCAAGAACAATTATTCACAACTTCATTGTACAATTATTTGCACCGCTGATCTTGGTGAAGTGTCTTCTGTCCTTTGTCGGATGCGAGCTGGCTTCTGCTTTAGTCGGAGCTACACTAAGAACTCGCTGGTCAAAGTCAAAGTTACATTGTGAGTGATGGTCGGTCGGTCAGTAAGTCTTGGTTCCGAGCCTCATATAGGGCTCATGACGAGATATTTATTACTTGAAGTAGAACCAATTTGTTACTTTTTCTCAAATTGTGCAATGTTTCATGAAGCTAAGAAAAATTATAATAGGAATCCTCTACTAGTATTTCTGGGTTGAAATTTGTATATTGTTTCTTAGGTATAATTTTCATAATAGAAAATATGTCGCATGTAAGTTTACGTAAGTAGGGTTCAGTGCTAATATGATAAACCTTTCGAAAAGGAACCGGAAATCGCGAATTGCGAAGACTGAGAAATAAGGCGGTGTTGTCTATGTTGAGGAATTATCCTGCAATTTTCCTGCTGAGACCACGAAAAACCTCAATCAGATTAATCGGTATCCCAACCGAGATTCGAAACGAGTACTTTCTGAGTAGAAGCCAGATACATTGCTGCTTCAACTAACTTACTTACTTATGGAGCTGAGCCCTTCTTGAGGAGAAGCCAAATCTGCAGCTACTCAAGAATTTTCTAGCATTTTATGGAACCTGAAAGTTCATTACCGTGTTCACAAGAGCCCTCCACTGTCCTTATCCTGAGCCAGATAAATCCATTCAATACAATCCCATCCCATCTCTCTAAGATCTATTTTAATATTGTCCACCCACCTACTCCTTGGTCTTCCCAGTGGTCTTCTTCCTTCTGGCTTTCCCACCAATATCCTATACGCATTCCTCGTCTCCACCATTCGTGCTACATGCCCCTTCAATCTCATCCTCCTTGACTTGATCATCCTAATTATACTTGGAGAAGAGTACAAGTTATGAAGCTCCTGATTATGCAGTTTTCTCCAACCTCCTGTCACTTCATCTCTCTTCGGTCCAAATATTCTCCTCAATAACTTGTTCTCAAACACCCTCAGTCTATGTTCCTCTCTTAATGTCAGAGACCAAGTTTCATACCCATACAGAACCACAGGCAAAGTTATAGTGTTTTATATATTGTAATTTTTATGTCTTTAAACAGCAGATGAGAAAACAAAAGGTTCTGGACTGAATGGTAGCAAGAATTACCCGAGTTCAGTCTCCTCTTAATTTCCTCCTGAATCAGGTTTTGATTTATTATCGTCGTTCCCAAATATCTGAACTGTGCCACAGTTTCAGAACAGCTGTTTTCTATCGTGCTTCATCTAACTAACAAGGAAAATAAGGGGAAAATGTTTGCTTACCATTCTTGTGGAAGATGTTCGCAATTCAGCTCACCACGATACGTCCTTTAAGTGAAGATGAAAACAATTTGATGTTCTTCCTAATATGTTTCAAATTCTGCTGTCTATCCTTATTTGTTGCCATTTGAAAACATTTTCTGAAACAAAAAGATACCACGATGAAGCACCTACTACACTCCACTGAGATAGTGGCATTTTAGGAGGACACACTGGCTTGAAATCCAGATCTATGCACTCTTGTCTAGGCGGGAAAAATATTTTTCAAACTGGCACAATTTGTTGACAACGAGTATGGCCGCAGAGGCGATAAATATCGAGTGTTTAAGTTACATTCTTTCCCTTACGTCGAAAAGCTTTATGTTTTTCTTCAGCAGAGAGCAATTTGAAATTATATAAGGGGCAGTGTCCAAATATTGATAATATTTAGCATAAGGGTTCTACTTATTTAAGGTACAATAGCCTTCTTCAGGAGCAGTCAGTGATACTTTGCCATAAAACAGGTGCCCCCATAAGGAATGATGCTACGCAGGTAACTAGAGCACATTATGAAAATGAAATTGTGAAGCCAATAAAGAAAGTAAACGATAAAGTACAGGAAAAAGTTTTAAGTTTTAAATATATAAAAAGAATAAATAAAAATTGTGAGAATAAACTCTGAAATTGTTAAAGTTCCCAGACAACTTTTTTTTTTTTCAAAATGGACGTAATGGAATTTTCATACTATAACTGGATTATATTTTTCATAACAGAGTAATTACTTTGGTGAAGCGACATTTACAGTATGAACATTAAAGTCTAAATTGTTCAGAAAGGAAACTTTGACGGTGCCAAATGTGTTAAATTAACAGCGAATTAAAAATTACAGCTATGGAATTGTAGTGATTCCTTATAAATGGCCGTTAATCTTAACTCGCTTAACTTCCACATCACGACTCACACTTTACTGTATTATGAGTACCTTTTTGTTTCCGAATTAGGCAGCACTTTCCACACTAAAAACAAAGACAGGTTCTCTGTTAGTCTTTACACAGAACGCACCAAACATTCAACACACATACCTACCACCAGGAAGGAGACTGAACAGTCACAGACAGAAATTACCCGCCCCTTGAAAGTCCACAGGCACGCGTGCGCAATATGTCTGCGTTGTGTATCGCTGGGTGCAACAAGGGAATATGATCATGTTCAACGTTGCAACCACAAACAGGAACAGCCCGCATCAGATACTAGATAAATAAGGGGAATTGGACTGTACATCAACGATTTACAAATTTCAAGATGCCCTAAAACTCGGTTAAGAAAGAAATATCACACAAAACTCTCACTGAATGTGACGTGCCCATGAAAATTGGCTAATTACATTGCGTTTAAAATAAGCCTATAATAAATCCCACATAAGTAAACAAATTTCTGATGCATTTCCTATTTATATCTAAACACAGAGGGGTCTATAGTCATTTCTATACAACTTTGCTCTTAAATATATTATTAGGAAGGGCTAAGGATATCGGGAGTGAGTGGAACTGAATGGGACATATCAGCGTTTAGTAAAGGCTAAAGATTTTAATTTAGTAACCACAATGTACGTAAATGGTGTCAGGGAAAACAGAAATATTTTTAAAGGTGCTAAGTGAAGGCAGGGAAACTAAGCACACGTGATGTCTCACCATCAGAACAATGGACAAAATCTTATAATAAAAATAGTTTTGGTATACATATGCTTAGAAAATGTGGCAAAGTTAAAATATTTTGGAACTACTGCAACAAATGAAAATTGTGTTAACGAATAATATAAGAGCAGGCAAATTTCGGAGAATAGTTCTTACTATTTATTTCAGGATCTTTTGGCTTCTGTCTCTTTTGAAACTAAAAAATGAAGTATAAAAATTATAGAATGCTTCGTGCGAAACGTCTTTCGCCTTAGGAGAAGAACATTGATTAGGGGTGTTTAATTAGATTAATGAGAATTAGTGAGAATATTTGGACCTGAGCTTAATGAAACATCCCGTAATTTGTATTTACCGTCAAGTATTTTTTTTTCTTTGGCACTACAGCCCCAGTGGGCCTAGGCCTACCCCCATGAACTTCTCCGTTCACTTCGGTTTTTCTAGATCTTACACATTCGGTAGGACTCCTTGGGCGGGTGATCAGCTCGTCGCAAGGCCTCTACCTGTACACAAACACAGAAAAACGCACACACACAAACTAAACATCCATGCCCTGAGTGGGATTCGAACCCACGATCCCGGTTTCCAAGCGAGCGAAGACAGTACATGCCTTAGACCGCTCGGCTACCGTGACCGGCAGTGTATAAGAATAATATATAAGAATTCAGTTCGTACTTCACAGGAAACAGATCCGAACCCACGATCCCGGTTTCCAAGAGAGCGAAGACAGTACATGGCTTAGACCGCTCGGCTACTGTGACCGGCCCCATGAAGTATTATTAGGATGATAAAATCAAGGAGGATGAGATGAGGAGTCACGTAGCACGCATGGGTGAGGTGATAGGTTTGTGGAAAACTTTAGTTGGAACACCTGAAGGGAAGGATCATGGATTTTCTTTAATTATTCACATTTGTGGGGCCAATACTAGAACAGATCTTAAAGATAAATTTGTGAGGTTAAGACTCTATTCAAATGGTTCAAAACAGAATCTGATGGCTGCCTATTTGAAACACTCCAATAATTATTGTCACGTTTTTTAGTGACTATAGACGGGGCCTGGATTGGTAATCTGATTTGTTGAATTCTTATAACTCATAATTACAAGCAAGGATTATCCTGTCACTGTTCTACATTTCTTAAATCACTACAGGGCACACTAAGTTTTCTCAGTCTGTTACAGTTTTCACTAGCCGTTACTTGGTAGCGGCTTTCAATAGCTGGCATTTCCCTTTCTCTATGTTCTCGAACTGCCCCAGTCTCAGCTACCGGCTTACCAATCAGTTTATCTTGGCACGAAAACCCTTGAGAATCACGGCAGAACTTTTTTTTTTCCTTTTTTTTGCAACAGGATCATAGTGATCATAGTCCTTATGTAACGTCCTCTCTGACGAGAGTTTGGTTGTGCCTCTTATGAATATGCTTGGCCTTTCGTCAAGTGTACGCATCGCACATATAGCATGTTACTGAACCTTCTTCTTTTCGCAATGTTGGGGGGCACGAGGTAGCGTAGTTGGCTGAGGCACTATGCTACAAGTCGGAAGGTCGTGGGATCGAATCTCGATGAAGTGAATTTTTTCAATTTACCTAATATTTCCAGCCGCACTATGGCCCTGGGATCGACTAAGCTTCTAACAGAAATGAGTACCAGAAATATTCTTGGGGTAAAGGGCGGCCGGCGCGTAAGACTGACAACCTTACCGCCATCTGTCAGACGATTGTATAGAAAATGTTGAAACCTCAACAGCTCACAACCCTATGGGCCTCCACGGCCTGTTACAGGGATACCTTTACTTACTTACTTACTTATCTCATGTTACGGAGGCAGCTTAATCACTTGACCGCCACAAGTTAAGCCTCTTATATTTTCTGTCTGACTTCGCCTTGTCCTATGTAACGAACATTTTCACGCATATGACTTTCTACGCTTTCTGCTTGTTGCCTGCACAATTTCGTAATAGTCGTATAATCGTACACATACGAAAGGTTGAAAGCTTCATAACTTGTACTCTTCGCCAAGTATAATTAGAATGATCAAGTCAAGGAGAATGGCCGCGCCATAGCTCAAGCGGGTATTCCCTGGCTTCCCACTGCGGCGGCCCGGGTTCGATCCCGGGTCTGGTTAAGTGGGATTTGTGGTGAATAAAGTGGCGCTGTACATATTTTCTATTCTTCATTCCACTAATTGCTACACATTCACCCTCGCCTATCATCTGAGGCTGGCACAATACGTCAGAAGTGGCCGCAGTACAAGGGACTTAGTCCCACCCCACTAGCAATAAAAAAAGTCAAGGAGGATGAGGTGGGCAGGGCATGTAGCACTAATGGAGGAGAAGAGGACTGCATATAGGATACTGATGGGAAAGACAGAAGGAAAGACACCACTAAGGAGACCTAGACATAGGTGGGTGGCTAATATTAAAATGGATCTTAGAGAGATAGGAAGGAGTGGTATGGACTGGATTGATCTGGCTCATGATAGGTACACTGAAGGACTCTTGTGAACATGGTAATGAAACTATGGGGTTTTCAAAATGGTGGGAAATTCTGGAGTACTGCACAACTGGCAGATTCTCATGAAGGGCTCGGCTCCATGGAATTGCTTACTTAGACAATATATATATATTTTAGACCTCTGTTATCTAGTGGTCAGAGTTCCTGGTTACAGATCCAGAGGTCTCGGGTTCGATTCCCGGCGCTACCAGATTCTCTGAGAAGTAGTGGGTCTGGAACGGGGTCCACTCAACCTCGTGAGGATAACTGATGAGCTATTTCAAGGAAATAGCGGCTCCGGTCTAGAAAACCGAAATTAACGGCCGTGGGGATTCGTTGCGCTGACCACGCGACACTCTCTATCCGCTAAAGTTGGCACTAATTTCGCTGACAAGCGGGGGTAGCTCGGTCGTTATAGTTCGCTTGCGGACTACAGGTCACGGATTGTGTTTTTATACCAAATTCCATAAATGCTGTGCATCGAGAGCGGAGTTAGGACGGCCGATAGACAAACAGGCACAACTCCGTTGTCTGGACAATAGCTGCCCATGAAACGAGACGAGGCCCACGTAAATACGTATCTGGGCTATCACCCCTTATTTTCTAAGTTTCCAAATTTCCTAACCCTTTATTTGTCTCGTTCCCTTGAGTGTCCAGTAAGACATGAGGCATTTCACAACTGAAGATGGTATACAGACACGCACAGTGGACTTTTTGTATGGGTGATAGTACAGCACAATATTAACGACATTTCTCTGAGTTAAGTAAGCGGCCCCTAACTATCAGTGTTATATAAATAACGAAAATTATTTTTACTGCGGTTTTATTTATTGTTCTTGGAAACCAATTTTCATTCAGTTGTATTTAATTTTTACTTACCTACTACCTTACTCACTGGAGCTGAGCCCTTCTTGAGGAGCCACTAATTCTGCAGCTACTCAAGAATATCCCAGCATTTTATTGAACCTGAAGTTTCGTTACCATATTCACAAGAGCCCCCAACTAATTCATATCCTGATCCAGATCTATGCAATTCATACTACCCCATCCTATCGCTCTAAGATCCATTTTAATATTGTCCACCCACCTAAGCCATGGTCTTCCCAATGGTCTCTTTCCTCCTGACTTTCCCACCAATATATACGTATTCCTCTTCTCCCTCATTCGTACTACATGCCTTGGCCACCTCATCCTCCTAGACTTGATCATTCTAATTATACTTGGAGAAGAGTACAAGTTATGAAGCTCCTCATTATGCAGTTTTCTCTAACCTCCTGTCACTTCATCTCTCTTTAGTCAAAATATTCTCCTCAAACCCTGTTCTCAAGCACCCTCAGTCTACGTTCCTCCATTAAAGTCAGAGACCAGATTTCACACCCATACGATTTAATTTTTATTGAAATTGATTCCCATACCAAATAATACGCTGCTCTAATTTAAGTGAAGTGTGTACCAAACAAATGCATACGAACACTGACGTTACACTTGTATTTGCGGAACCGTAAGTATCGACCATAACGCACAGTATTGCGGTCAATTGGGGTGAATGCCCCCCTACAGGCCTTGTTTCAGTCTCCCATTGCGACTATTAGAGGTTATAAAAATACTGTATTAATTATTGCATTTACTCATGTATAACAGGATTCATGGAGTTTTAATTATTATGTTTAACTACATAATTAAAGTGAGACAAATTTAGCCATTCACGGTAGCCGAGCGGTCTAAGGCATGTACTGTCTTCGCTAGCTCGGAAGCCGGGATCGTTGGTTCGAATCTGTTTCCTGTGAGGTAGGAACTGAATTCTTATATATTATTCTTATACACTGCCGGTCACGGTAGCCGAGCGGTCTAAGGCATGTACTGTCTTCGCTAGCTCGGGAACCGGGATCGTGGGTTCGAATCCAAATCAGAGC